CTGGTTAACTGATCCGAGCTCGGACCGGTCTCGGCATGGATCGGTTTTTCAAGGGTAGTATAAATGGGGTAATTGTTTTATTTGTTTGCATCTTAGGAACTCTCCTGTTTCTCATTAGGATAGTAAGCAGTTGACATTCAAAATTTGACAAAAATAAAGACTTATTTGGGCTGCAGGGCCCTTTAAAATAAGAAAATATAGCCATAATATCAAAGTTACAATAAATGTCTCAAAATTTTTGAATTTAGAAAAATAAGCGAAATATTTTTGTGTCTCGTTTTATAAAGTCTCATATCAATTGGGTACAATAAGAGTAAAATATTATCTGTGAAATTTTAAGCTTTATTTCTTTTATCAATTCTTTGACCCAGCATTCAGCATCTCAGAAAGTTATAATATTACAAAAGCTTTAATAATAATAAATGTGAGATTCCTGGCTGCTCGGTGGTTCTTGATTTGCTGATTCCAGTCTCAGTCTGCTCTAGGATTGTTGTCGGGATTTTGTTTGACAGTCCTCTCAGGGTTGCGGTTTTACCTGTAACCAGTGCCACTTTTCCGCCCCACTTGTCTTTCTATTCAACGTTCTGTAAAGATCCTTGGTTACAGCATTTTGTTAACAACCAGATTCTCTAGTAATGACCTGTTGAGCTACTGTACCTTCTTTATGGAAGATACCATGACTGTCTTCTGGATTTCTGTCCAGTTAGCAGTCTTCCCCATGATTGCATAGTTTTCTGACCTGGAATGACAGACCAAGTGTTTCCAATATTTAACTTTTTCATAATATCAACATTTTTTAAAAGAAATTATGGGTTTTTATTTTCTGTAATCCATCTTACAGGCCTTTCCATCATACTGAAAGCTCATCAGCAGTGTAACCTTGTTAAGAACCCCAGGTGTAAAAAGGGTTTCGACTGCTTTTACACAAATCAATATTTACTATTGATTATCAAGGAGAGTATAAATCATTTTTATACTCACAAGTTATTTTTTTTTTTTGCCTATAGTTAAAAACATAAATAATCTTGTTTAAAATCAATAAACACCATTAGATTGTTTTTTTTTTCTTTGCTTCTGGTGAACTTTATACATTGATTATGTACGTATTTATTATTTTAATTAAAGGTATAATAGAGAATTTTCTTGAATTTTTGAAAACACCCGCCCTCTCCCTTTTAAAAAAAAAAATGTACATGCACAACCCTGTACCTACTCCTAAGAGCGTGCACAAGCCTATTTCTCCTCGTGCACACTCTGTTTAAAAGTTGCTTTTTGCATTGCTCATACAAGCTTACTTTCCAAAAGAAGATTTTCATTTTTTCTGCTATGTCAGACTCACCATCGGGAAGTGAAAATGGAACAAGCATGTAGGACGGCCTTAGTTAAACACATCACCAGAATGATTGACAATTAGGAGGACCACTTATTTTGATGATCCACCTAGAAACCTTTTATGTGCAGTACTAATAATATTTTTTTCTCTGCAGTGATACATTTTTTTTTTGTTACGTATGGAAGTGATTAAACTGTGTTTTCTGATGGTGCAATACTACTTTTACAAAATAAAATAGAAGCTTTTTTGTAATTGCACATCAGGTATAAAATTAAATTGCATTGCTTCAGGGTTGGTGTATAATATGGACGAGGATTAGAGCC